CAGCCTTCTGGTTAGCAGTCAAATGCCTTAGGCACTATGCTACCAGAGCTCCTATGCTACCAGAGCTAGGCCACCATAAATCAAAATCAGATGGCCACTAACAACAACAGAATTACTTAATGATGGCTTTAAACTCAGGGACTATTTCTTTTTTTTTTTTTCTTAACTTTCTATTTTGAAATAATTATAGATTCATAGGAAGCTAGGAAAATAATATGGAAATATCTATATCTACCCATATCTACCCTTCACTTAGTTTCCCCCAATGACTACTTCTTACATAACTATGGTGCAATATCAAAACCAGGAAACTTACCTTGCTACAAGGTATATATATAATTCTTTGCTATTTTATCATGTGGATATAATTATGTAATGTTATTCACTTTTATATCCAAAGACTTGGTGAAGGCTTGGCACATTGAGGTGCTAATATATACCTTTTGGGAGAATAAATGAATGAAAAAGTGAATGAGTGATGGTTGTTTGACAGATAGAGACAGTGATAGACCTCTAATTCCCTGGGTAAAACAAACTTAGCAGCAAATCCATTCACTGCCAAAGTAATTGTGGCAGCCCAAGTCTGAGAAATATGTGGCTTTACCCTGTGATTATGTGGTATTTAGTTTTAATTTAACCTTGTTTAAATGCAAGATTGGCCTCTATTCAACAAGGAATTATGGCTTTTGACTTTCAAGGAATTTTTGAGCTCATGGAGCTCAGCTCGTTGATTTAATAACTTTATGATATTAGAAATCTATGCTTCATTCAGATGGGCATAAATACAGATATTGATGCATTAAAACCCTTTCCAGCTTGAAGTGAAGCCAAAGCTAATCAAGGTATAAGTGAAAAAGACCTCAGAGATGAGATTCAATCCAACTACTGAATTCCCCTTAGTAAAATTCTAAAATACAGTCACTCTGCTCAGACCACTGTCCCTGTTATTCTCGATAGGTGTCACCTCACGTGATCCACCTCAGTTCCTTTCCTCTCCACTTTAGACTGTCTCGGTATGTTTACCTTGATCTTCTCATTCATTCTTGTCTACAGATGCCTCATGCTGTATCCTTTCCTTGGCAAGCCTTTCTTGCTGATTCGGCCACCTCCAGAAGTTAGCTTCAGCAACTAGCTTCCCTATGTGCAATCTCAGTCTCTTTCTCTTCTCTTCAAGCATGCTTGTCTCATGTGATTCCATTCTTGATCCTCTGTTCTTACGGTATGTTCTCCAGGGGCAACTTTATTTATGCCTGTGGACTTTACTGCCACCTACACAATGACTCCAAAATCAGTATGCCCAACCAGAACTTCTCTTGCCTCAAAATCATCTATGCATTTTTCTACTTGAGATCTCCAGCTAGATTCCATAGGCCCTTCAAACATAACAGGCCCAGAATTCATTTCCCTTGTGGAACTTGCCTCCCTTCCTTTCTCCCCTCTCTTGGTGAATTAAAATTCCATCCATCCAGTTGCCTAGCCAGAAAACAAGGATTCAAATTTTCTCCACGTCTTACTCCCAAATTCATTCAAACACCGAGCCTTTTATATTTATTTATTTATTGCTGGCTTGCTTGCTCGCCCTGGTCTCCTAGAACATACCTCGTCCTCTCCAAGTCCCCACCCCAGCCCCAGTGGCCCATCCTAATACCACTATCTCACTTCTCCACAACAAGGCTCCCCATTGCCCAAACCCTCCCCACCTCAGAAATCACAACTGCATATTCATGCGGGTCCTGCTGTCAAGGAATGACAAGGTCTGGGTGGGAGACAATAGGGAGCAGTGGAGACTGTGGTCAGTGGGAGATGGCAGCTCTGTTGACACTGTACCACTGCCACTCAGCTCCAACTAGAGATCCAGGCCTTCTAGCACTTTTTTTTTTTTTTAACCAAAAAAACCTTTTTATTGTGAACATTAACAGAGCAAATATGTTTCCTGTTCAACAATTCATACACATTTTGCTTCATGTCATTATTTGCAGTCCCCTCAATGTAACATAACTCCTCCCACCTCCTCCATTTATTTCTTGTTTCCACTCCTCCTTCTCTCCTAACCCTTCTTGCCCTCTGAACTTTGTTCTTGGGCAGATGCTGCCCTTTTGATCTGGAATGGTTGATTGTTCTAAGGACTGCTTACCTTCCTAGTATTATGATTCACCTTGTAGACCTGTCTATTGTTTGGCTGAAAATTGAGCCATGGGGAGAGTTCAGTTCCAGATCTAAAACCTTCTAGGTTTAGATCTCCGGGACCTCTTCTGTCTCTCTTTCCCCCAATCTTGAAACTGAATTAAGAATCTCCCTTGATTCCTGTCTCTACTTTCAAAATGCATCCCTTCAATTTAATCCACCAAAGAATATGAAATTCCTCCCTATCCTCAATGCTACTACCTTAATCTAATCCCTCAGCATCTTTTGTCCTGGGCACTTGTGACACCCTTCTACCTGGCTTTCTTCCCCATCACCATCCATATCCTTTTCACATAGTTGCAAACTTTTTGATCATGTTCCCTTGTCAGTTACAAAAACATTTCCAGTAGATTTATATTTATTTATGTATGAATCATATACATGATGACCAACCAATACCATCTGTGTGTTAGAAAACACACAAAAGTAAATATAATCAGACTGAGCTTAAAATGAAATAAATAATAGTTTGAAATACTTAAATTTTATTGTATTCGCTAACAGAACAAAAATAAAATCACATTAAATAATCTTCTTCAATCCTGGTTTAATACTTTATGATTCTGTGATTCAAGGTCTGATAAGGTAAATTTATTTCAGTTCTTAATCTTAATGGCTATCATAGCTGGAAAAGATACCTTACAAAGGCACGAGATAATATATATTTACAATATGTACTGAAGGCAGGTCCTTTGTTAACAATAGTCTATTTAAATTCTAATTAATGCAATGCAATTCAACGCAATGCTTTTGATACATTCAGTTTGTGCAGGTAACTTTTTGCCAGGGGTAATAATATCATCATTGTTTTTAGCCTAATCATGTGGCTAACAAAGAGCTTGTACTAGGAGTGAGAAGGGTGTCAGCTCAACCATTTTCTTATGTTCTGCTGATGTTTGCATTATTTATTACTATCTTCATTCCAAGCCTCTTTGCAAATAACTTAAACTACTTGCCCATTTTGTGAAAATTAGAAAAAATTGAATGCATCAATCCACTTAATTGGGTGCATAGCATAAACTATAATGTTATAATACATTCCACAATACACTGAAAACAAATGAGTCAGTCAAGTCACCACCATGCTCCTTCTGAGATAAGCCTGCCAATTCTTCCCTGAGGATACCTCCTTTACTGTTTAAATTTATGAACAAGGGTACCAGTGTACCTTATATTAAATATTCATAAAGCCTGAATTATTCTCCTTTTAGATTTTTAAATATTAACATATTCTTTTTTATTTTTTAATTTTAATTGTGATTTGGGTGAAAGTTTACAGAGCAAATTCATTTTCCGTACAGCAGTTCATACACATTTTGTCTCATGACTTTGACTCCAATTCCTCACAATGTAATAGCTCTCTTCCTACTTCCTCCCTGTAGTTACCTTTTCCCTGTGTCCTTCCCTCCCATGCATTCCTGCCACCCTACCCCCTACCCCGTCTTCCTGTGCAAACACTGCCCTTCTGTTCTCCCATGATTGATCACTCCAAGGAGTGTAACTACCTGTCTATTATTTGGCTGGAAACCACAGGAGTGAGTTAAATTTCTGACCTGACTCCCATTTTACCTTCATCTCTCATGTTCCTTAACCATACTCTCTATGTTCTTGTTGTATTAAATTACTAACCTTCCCTGGCCGTGCCATACCATGTTCTTCTCTGCCCACTGAGCATCACGCTCCCTTGGTGTATGGTTATTCCCACCTCCAAGGTCATCTTCTTCCTGAAGATACCTCTGGCTTCTTAGGAATAATCCATTTTTTCTTCCGTTGTGCTGCTGTGGCATGTATGTATCCAGTTTACCACTAAACTTTGTATCTTATGACCAGGGACCTTGACTTCCTTATACCCATTCTCCTCCCCTACAGCTCAGAGTAGTAGGCACCACTAGATATTTCTCAAACAAACATGTGTACTAAACATATATCTCTAAATATGTACTGAGTGTCCCCACATCTGAGCCTCTTTTGTACAATGATCCTGTCTAGCATCTCCCTTTTCTCCCTATCAGAATTATGTCAATTTTCCAAGGCTGCTCTCACATGCCACCTATTTTGTGAAGTTTTCCCTCTCTCTCACTCATGTGTCCACTATTCTCTCTCATCCTCCAAAACAAAACTAGAAAAGTACTCCACCTCCTCTGAACCTTAATAACAATTGACCAGTTACCAGTTGCCCTTGAGTTGGTTATGACCTCGTGTGTCAGAGTAGAACTGTGTTCTGTAGGGTTCTCAGTGGCTGGTTTTTCAGAAGTAGACCGTTAGACATTTCTTCTGAGATGCCTCTGGGTGGACTTGACCCTTCAGCCTTTAGGTTAACAGCTGAGCACATAACCGTTTGTACCACCCAGGGATTCTCTATCTCTAAGAAGCAGATAGAATTGGAAATGGTATATCTCACTGGGAGGGAGAAACAGAGACTATGACATCATTTCGGTAGAGTCATTAAAGGTATGCATTCAGAGTTGTGCATCTGGATTCTTTAGGTGAAAAATGAGGAAAGAAAAAGAATAGAAAAGAAGAAGAAGCCAAATAAGGCAAGGTACCAGGGGCTGAAACAGAAAAAGGGGCCACCTCTGCCCAGTGTGTCCCTACCACAATTTCTTTAAAAATATGGAACAGTATGAGCATGACTATGTTAGGCTGAGGTTTGAAACCAAGAGATAACATACTACAATGAAAAGAGCACTTGTTGTTGTTGTGTGCCATCGAGTCAGACCTGACTCATAGCAACCCCTCCTTGGGTTTCCGAGGCAGTATCACTACGGAAGTAGATTGCCCCATCTTCCTTCCAAGGAGTGGCTGGTGGATTTGAACCGCCAGCCTTCTGGTTAGCAGTTGAGTGCTTTAGGCACTATGCTACCAGAGCCCCTGAAAAAAGCACTAGGTAGTAAAATCCCAAAAGACCAGGATTTAAGAGATAGCTTTCAATTTACTAACTGTTCTGGTTGTGTGCCATGGAGTTGATTCTGACTCACAGAAACCTTAGAGGACAGAGTAGAACTGCTCCGCTGGGTTTTCTAAGCTATAATCTTTATAAGAGCAGATCACCAGGCTTTCTCTTCCACAGAGTGGCTGATGGGTTTGAACCATCGACCTTTTAGTTATAAGTGCTTAGCCATTGCACCACCGGAGTTCTAACCAAAAAAATCAAAGTCACTGCCATCAAGTCAATTGCGATTCACAGTGTCCCCCATAGGGTTTCCAAGGCTGTAAATCATAATGGAAGCAGACTGCCTCATCTTTCTTCCATGGAGTGGCTACTGTTGTTGTTATGTGCCGTCAAATTGGACCTGACTCATAGCGACCCCTCGTTGGGTTTCCAAGGCAGTATCACTACGGAAGTAGATTGCCCAACCTTCCTTCCAAGGAGTGTCTGGTGGGTTTGAACTACCAGCCTTCTAGTGGAGTGACTAGTGGGTTCAAACTACTGACCTTTTGTTTGGCAGCCAAATGCCTTAACTACTCCATGACCAAACTCACTGCTGTTGAGTCAGATCCAACTCATAATGACCTCTCCTTGGGTTTCCAAGATGGTATCACTACAGAAGTAGGTTGCCCAGCCTTCCTTCTGAGGAGTGTCTGGTGGGTTTGAACTGCCAGCCTTCTGGTTAGCAGTCAAATGCCTTAGGCACTATGCTACCAGAGCTCTTTCCAGAGCTCTGAGACCTTAAAAAAGGTATTTAACTTCCTTCAGTCCAATCACCATCCTCTGAAAAATAGGGGTAATAGTACTTACCTCAGAGGATACCAAACTAAACCAAACTCACTGCCATTGAATCAATTCCGACTCATAGTCACCCTCTTTGGGTTTCTGAGGTGGTAAATCTTTTACAGAAATAGATTGCCCAGTCTTCCTTCTGTGGAGTGTCTGGTGTGTTTCAACCTCCAGCCTTCTGGTTAGCAGTCAAATGCCTTAAGCACTATGCCACCAGAGTGTCTTCCTCAGAGGACAGTTAAATAAAATATTCAATGCCTAAGAAAACACCTAATACCTATCAGTACTTATTCAGCAGCCACTGTAGTCTACCAGTGTGTAACTGAGTGTGAATTTGCATTTTTAATCTTCCTCCTAACTTAAGACTGAAATGTTTATTAGCATCACCTAGGTTTGAAGACTTAATTTCAACCACAACTGTCTCCTTTCTAAATTTCTTTTCATTTGTTCTGTCAAAACGAAGTTGTTTTCAAAGCTGTGATGTGCTGAGCAATTTCTGGATGTGTTTGTGGCCCCCCTTGTGGTCTTTTTAGGAATTACATGTGAACCTGGCCCCACTGAGGCAAATTTAACTAAGATTGCATGTAATTGGGTGAATCTTTATTTTCCTTATCATTCTCATGAGTCTGCTTTTAGATGACTTTTTAAGATAAAGTCTGTATTTTCTAATTTTCAAAATAAACTTTAAAAGTTTTTAAACTTTCAAAACTGAGTTAAGACTAGTCAAAAGCATTTTATACTGGGAATCAGTGGCAAATTTCCTGCAACTGAATTCCTTTGGCAACTAGCTCTTTATTTTTGTAAGTGAACAGCTTGTTATCCTAGATGGTCTCTTGGCATTTTCATTGACTTCTTCCTCCTAACTTATAAGAGTGTCTGGAAATGTGATTTCTAATTCTAACAACCATGAGTAGTGTAGGTTTTAAGGAGAGGACTTGGTGAGATGATCACATTGCATACTGGATTGCACATAGAAACTACATGCCAAGATTCAGGACAGCGGAAGTCAGTGTAACACAGGGACTTGCTTTAGATGGAGTCCCTGGATGGTGCAAATGTTTAATGTGCTTGGCAGCTAACCCAAAGGTTAGGGGTTCAAGTCTACCCAGAGGTACCTCAGTAGAAAGACTTGGAGATTTACTTCTGAAAAATCAGCCACTGAAAACGCTACGGAGCACAGTTCTGCTCTGACACACATGGGGTTGACGTGAATTGAAATGGACTGTGGCAATTGGTTTGTGTGTGTGTTGGGGGGGGTTGTTGTTTGTTTAGATATTCACATCAGAGGCAAAGGAGAAATTAGATACATACCAGATTCCTTGGATCTAATACATCACCCAAACCCTCACATCACAGATGGAAAAATGAAGCCATACAGTACAGTTAACACAGTTCAGTTGTTTAATACCAGAGGAGAGGTAGAAATTTTAACTCAAAAATGTTTACTCAATTTTGACAGTGACCACTCATTTTTTTCCAGTAGTTAGCTTGTCAAAAGACAGTTTTCAACGTGATCTTTGTTAAAACCACATATTACCGTCACCAGCCATTATTTATTGAATGACATTGGTTGGGAAGTCAATGAACAGTTTTCACTGATCAACCTCATATTTATGAATGATGCCTCTGCTTTGGTCCACAGATCTTGCTAGGTCAGAAATACAACCATTCTGTTGATTGGTGGTCCTTTGGTGTTCTCCTTTATGAAATGCTCATCGGTCAGTCACCTTTTCATGGGCAAGATGAAGAAGAGCTCTTCCACTCCATCCGCATGGACAATCCCTTCTACCCACGATGGCTTGAGAAGGAAGCCAAAGACATTTTAGTGAAGGTAAGAAGTCATGACAGCTTTCATCAGATTATAGTATTAAGTTTTCTGATTAGTATTCCTATCCATGTCTAGATTTTGATTGATGCATGGTAAACAATAATTATATTTAACAGGATGAAAGTGAGGTGCTCACTGTCTTTATTTTAATTGAAGTGTCCGTATGTTAACCATTAGCTATCCAAGTGCATGTATGAGAAACCCTCAACTGCATAAAAATGTATAAAATGCCAAAGAACCAGTTCCATGACTCCTGAATTCTCTCACTTTGAAATGTGATTGGTAGATTGAACTAATACAGCTTAAAATTCAGCTATTTGTTTCCCACTTAAGGGGGAAAAAAATAACTTTTGCCCTCCATTCTGACTCATGGCAATCCCACATGTTACAGAGTAGAACTGCCCCACAGGGTTTTCTTGCCAGTAATCTTAACAGAAGCAGATCACCAAGCCTTTCTTCCACAGTACACTGGGTGGGTTTGAACTGCCAACCTTTAGGTTAGTAGTGGAATGCAAACCATCTGTGCCACATAGTCACTATAAAATATGTTCAGTGGAGTTGATCTTCCCCTGCCCTTGCTTGAAAACTTGGATTCATGACTTTTCTGCTCACTCTTACGTAAAAGTCAAACCTGTCATTACTTTAAGTCAGAAAACCTGGTCTCAAACAAGAAATTAAAACTGTCCAGTCCAAGATATCAATCATCACATCAGTCCTATATTAAAGGTAAGATTCTGGCCACAGCCCATAGTTGGCAGCTGTAGAGAAAGGAGTATCACGGTATTGTGATCGACTGTCTCCTTACTCTCTTTATCTTCAACTTTTGACCTGCTATGTCAGACCCTGTTAGGAGCTCTGGTGGCATAGACCACCTCAGAAACCCAAGGAGGGGTCACCATGAGTAGGGTCTGACTCAACAGCAGTGAGTTTGGTTTCGCTTAAGTTATAAGCAGGGAAATGATGGGAAGGGGTAAGGAAAAAGAACCGTTCTTCCATGTTTGGGTGCCTTCGTGCTCCATGAGGCTGACAGATGGTAAAAGATGGTCTTTATGAGGCACTATCACAGATTCTTTGGCAATACCCATTACTGAGGACATCTTTGCCTAAAACTCTTGAGACATTGGCTATTCAATCCATTCTGTAGTCTGGCTACTCCCTCTACCCAAACTCTAGTCAGCAACACTCCATCTTACTGAAACCCTCACTGTTAGCCACCTACAGAGTAGCTCCTCTTAGGCAGTACTGAAAAAGGAAGCAGACTGACTCTACCTCTCCCCACATGACCTGTTGGCCAAAGGAAATACAGATGCATCCATCACCCTAAAACTCAGAGAGTGCTGTCTATTGCCATCACAGCAGCTCTCTCCAGCATCTGCACCAATGCAGGAATCTGACTCCACTCCATGGTATCCTAAGATCCACTGAGAATCGGTGTATAGTGGTACAGATATAATCTGGGCTCTGGGAATCATTAACTATAAACTAAGAGTTCCCGGGCGGGGGCGGGGGGTGGGGTGGGGCGGGGAACCGACTGCTTTCCAGTCAATTCTAACTCACAGCCACCCTGCAGGACAGAGTAGAACTGCCCCCATATGGTTTCCAAGGCTATAAATCTTTGCAGAAGTAGACTGCCTCATCTTTCTCCTGCAGAGCAACTGGTAGATTTGAACCACCAGCCTTTTGGTTAGCAGCCCAATGCTTTAACTGCAGAGCCACCAGCGCTCCTTCAGAGAAAACCAATGCAGAGAATTGTGTGAGAACTATCATTAAAGATTTGAACTTTATGCAGAGTCCTAGTTTACCTTTCTGGAAAAATGCAAAATATTGTCTGCAATGTATACACGTAATATTGTTTTGGGGTACCATTGAGTCAGTTTCCACTTATAATCATCTCATGTAACTGAGTAGAACTGCCCCATAGGGTATCCTTGGCTGTTATCTTTATGGGAGCAGATAGCCAGGTCTTGTTTGCAGAGCCTCTGGGTGGGTATTTTTGAACTGCCAACCTTTCAGTTACTAGCCAAGCACTTTACTCTTGCACCACCAGAATTCCTTATACATGTAAAAGATTTTAAAAAATGAAAATTAATTATATAAAACAACAGGTTAAATAGCTATAATAATAAAAATAACACTAAAGTAGCTACTGAGCTGTCCCAGCAAATATTTGGATCAAGGAAACTCACCAGTGTGATCAAGAGGCTAGCAAATCTAAAATAAATGGACCTAGAATAAAGGGATTTAGACGTAAAATGGCGTAACAGTCTCTTGGTCTTGATTTCTTGGATTTCATATCACAGCTGACTAGAAAAATCACTTAGGGAAATAATTTTTAGTCTTGTTCTTACTATATTAGGAACTCTGGTGGCATAGTGCCTAAGGCACTTGACTGCTAACCAGAAAGCTGGCAGTTCAAACCCACCAGCCACTCCTCAGAAGGAAGGATGGGCAATCTACTTCCATAGTGATACTGCCTCAGAAACTCAAGGAGGAATTACTTTGAGTCAGATCCAACTCCACAGCCATGAGTTTGGTTTGGTTTTTGGTCTTACTGTATTGAGAATAGGAATCAGAGAAGATAGTTTGATACTATAATCAATCAGTGTGTTTTAAATCTAAACTCAGAAAAATATGACCTGGCCTATCTTTTTTCACTAGTTTACTTTTTTCTCATGAAGAAATACTTGGAATTCAATTTAAAAGGCATAACTTTATATCTCTCAAATACAGTTGACAATTTGCCTAGGGTATTAGAAATTTTGAGGCACCTGCAGAACTCTCCTTAAGCAATCAAGATCTTGAATCTGAGAAGTGCCAACAAAGCCCTCACAGGACACCTTGTTGTTTGTTATTAGGTGCCCTCAAGTCAGCTCTGACTCATAGTGACCCTGTGTACAACACAGTGAAACACTGCCTGGTCATGCATCATCCTCACAATCCTTGCTGTACTTGAGCCCATCGTTGCAACCACTGTGTCAATCCATCCCATTGAGGGTCTTCCTTTTTTTCACTGACCCTCCACCTGGCCAAGCATGAAATCCTCCAGAGAATGGTTCCTCTGACAACATGACCAAAATAGGTGAGACAAAGTCTGGCCATTCTCACTTCCCAGGAGCATTCTGGCTGCATTGCTTCCTGGACAGATTTATTCATTCCTCTGGCAGTCCAGGGTGTTTTCAGTATTCTTTGCCAACACCACAATTCAAGAGCATCAACTCTTCTTCGGTCTTCTTATTCATTGTCCAGCTTCACTTGCATATGAGGCAGTTGGAAAGACCATGACTTGGGTCAGGCACACCTTACTCTTCAAAGTAACATCTTTTCACTTTAAAGAAGCAGCTCTTCAACACTTTAACAAGGTCTTTTGCAGCACATTTGCCCAGTGCAATGCAATGTCTGATTTCTTGACTGCTCTTTCCATGGGTATTGATTGTGGCTCCAAGTAATATGAAGTCTTTGACAACTGCACTCTTTTCTGCATTCGTCATGGTGCTACTTATTGGTCCAGTTATGGGAATTTTATTTTTCTTTATGTTGAGGTGTAATCCATACTGCAGACTGTAGTCTTTGATGTTCATCAGTAAGTATTTCAAGTCATCTTCACTTTCAGCAAGCAAGGTTGTGTCATAATGAGTTTTCTTCTAATTCTAATGCAGTGTTGTTCTTCAAATCAAAACCAAAAACAAACCAAACTCACTGCCATCAAGTCGGATCTGACTCAAAGCAACCCCTCCTTGGGTTTCTGAGGCAATATCAGGCAAAATCTATAGAAGTAGATTGCCCAACCTTCCTTCAGAGGAGTGGCTGGTGGGTTTGAACTGTCAGCCTTCTGGTTAGCAGCCAAATGCCTTAGGCACTATGCCACCAGAGCTCCTTCCAAGGTTAATGGAAGTAGGTATTTAAAACAGGGCTTACAACTGGTTCTTTGCAGCTCAACCCTCTGCTGAGAATTTGCATTTCCACCCCAGATAAACTGAATCAGAATTGACATTATTACAAGATCCCCAAGTGAGCTGGGGGTTGAATTAGAATGAACCCCTTCGAAACCCTGATTTAAAACGCTGAGACTCTTCAGTTCAAAACGCTGAGACTCTTCAGTTCAATTTTCACTTTCGGAATGTGATCCAACCAAGCAATAAACTTAGAAAACTCCCTTAAGAACCAATTAAATTCACTTGTAATGACTAAATAAAACACATGTAAAATGAAAGTTAATTTCAAAATTAACCACTTTAAAAAAAAAAGATGACAGCAATAAAAATGTGTTAGTGAGATTTGAATGTAAACCATCTTCCTTTTCAGAAAGGGAAGTTTGAACATTATTACTTTGCTTCCTCTTTTTTTTTTTTTTCTTTTACTCTTGGCTCTCTGAAGGATTTCAGGTGAGGACTGTACTGAGAAAGGCAGGGAAAGCAAAACCCACCAGAGAAAAGGAATGAGGCAAAGGGTCAGTCTTTACTGTCAGAGGGCTGGGGGCACCTTCAGACTTAGGTTCTGCCTGCGGCTGAATCACAGGATGCGGGTCCTGGAGCTACAGTTGTAGTTCACCTTCACCTGTTGATGCCTTGTGAAGTGGAACCAGCCTTCCGGCTGAGTTTCTCAAACCCAGCTGTTCCTTAGGATTTGGGTCAGCTTTGGGCAAGGACTGAAGGTAAAGGCATGATTGAGGCCAGGTGGAGTTAATCAGAAATACTTCCATGGAAAGAAGTTGGGAGTGATGAAAAGGAGAGTAAAAGTGATTTAATAGGAAGAAATTGCTTCCAATGGAGGAGAAAAGATGAAAAGTCATGTGAAATTCTATTTGGCTATGGAAAGAATAAACTATTGATACGCGAGACCACTCACACTGATCTCAAGGGCAGTATGCTGAGTGAAAAACACCATTCTCAAAAGGTCACATACTATGAGTCCATTTATATGACATTATTGAAAGGATGGAGTCCCTCGGTGACACAATGGTTAAGCACTCAACTACTAGCCACAAGGTTGGCAGCTTGAACCCA